TAATATAACCTATCCTTTTTCTATTTAAAATTTTGTTCTTTCTTATTTTTACCCCTAGGCCCGTTGTGGAGTGATGACCTGTGCCGGGTGGGCTATTATTCCTGCAGAATAAAAACACTCCTATAATCACCCATACGCTTATTCCATTAAAGTCCCCAGATTTCCAGAAGGGCAAACGTTGACAGCAGGGTTGAAAGGCAGCTGAGACAAGAATTATCATCTTTAGGGGTGGATTACATGACCTCCGCGTGAGGTGACCCACACAATGTGTACCCACAGAGGCGACCTCACTTTACCTGAAGACCTGACAAGCGATAACCTCACAAAATATGGCGGTTGAGGATGAACTGATCGCGAGATCTGAGGTTGGCGAGTTCCACAACAATTTAAATAATGAGTTACTTAATGCATTAGGCAGAACTTGCCTGTACCAGACAGAAAACTCAGATCAAACAACAATGACCCCAAATGGATAAATAATTATTTAAAGAATATTATTGGACAAAGAGGCTATAGGTAGGAGAATAAATGGTGGTGAAGTTTACCTTCAAGATTATTATAAGGTATTGGCCAGTAGGGTTAAGAATAAGAAAAAGCAAAAGAGGAATAATGAACTGAAGGTAGCAAGGTAGGCAAAGTGAAACCCCAAGGGATTCTTTCAAATTTATCAAACTAAAACACAAGAAAAGATTGGACCAATACAGTCAGATACCAGAGAGCTAAATGATAATGATGGAGAAATAGGCTATAATCTGAATAGATATTTTTCATCAGTTTTCACCACCGAAAATTTTAAACATGATAACCGAGGCACTGACTATATACAGAGATAGTGAAGAAGATAGATTAAGCGAGATGGGAGTGACCAGTAATGATGTTAGTAAGCAAATAGCTAAGATAAGCCTAACAAGTCACCAGGTCCCGATGAGATATTTGCCAGAGTATTAAAGGAATGTAAGGAAGAGACTTGAAAGTATGCCTTTAGCAAAATTGTTTTAAAATGTCCTTAAAACAGGTGTAGTTCAAGTATCCTGGAGGATAGCGAATGTAATGCCGATTTTCAAGAAGGAGATAGATCACTATCCTCTAACTACACCGTCAATCAGTTTAACATCACTTGTAGGCAAATTACTGGAAGCAATAATTTCAAACTCTATTCGAAATCACCTGGAGAAGCACAAGTTGATCAATGATTCCCAACATGGCGTCACAAGTGGGTGTTCATGTCTAACACTCTTTTCAGCTGTTTTTGAATCAGTGGATGATGGGAACGACTATGATGTGGTATATCTTGACTTTAGCAAAGCCTCTGACAGAGTCCCCAACGAGAGACTAATATGAAAAGTGGAGGCTCATGGCATTGGAGGAAATATTATAAACTGGATTAGGGGTTGGTTACAAGACAGGAAACAGCGAGTGAGCATTAACGGGAGTAAATCCGACTGGAGTAACGTCACCAGTGAAGTACCCCAAGGCTCAGTACTTGAACCAATATTATTTATTATATAGATAAATGACATAGATATCGGCATAGACAGCAACATAAGTAAATTTGCTGAAGACACTAAAATAGGGAGTGTAATTAAATCTGACGAGGACTCCGCAAAACTACAGGAAGACCTAAACAAATTTTTTGAATGGTCTGAAAAATGGCAGATGAAATTCAATGTGGACAAATGGAAAGTACTTAGTCCAAGAGATGTAAACAGAGAAACTAGATACCAGATGAACAACGATGTTACAGAGAAATCCGACTGTGCGAAAGATTTAGAAGTAATGATAAGTAGGAATCTTAAACCAAGTAAACATTATGTATTTGCTTGAAACAAGGCTAACAAAATGCTTGGGTTCATACAAAGGAGTGTTAGTTACAAGACTAGCGAGGTTCAATTTTGGTCACTGTACTACAGAATAGACATAGAATCCCTAGAAAGAATTTCAGAGGAGAATGACAAGACTTATCCCGGGCATTAGGAACCTTGAGTACAGAGACAGGTTAAAGCATCTTAATTTGCACTCCCTTGAGAGATGTAGAGTGAGGGGCGATATGATCGAGGTACAGTGATCCCTCGGTTAACGAAATTTCGGTTAACGAATTACCTTCCATAAGATTCTTAACTTCGGTTAACGAGCAATCCCTCGATTAACAAATTCCTTACGAGCACCCCTCAACATGTTTCTGCTTGCACACTAGCTGTCGTATTAGTCCGCCAATACAGTAATCGGTTCTAGGGCTTAAATTCCTTACTATTTTAGTAAATATCAAGAAGTTTGTACTAATCAATAATTTTAAGTCTTATATTAAAATTTTTAGTCATCTTAACAATTATTTAACATAATTCAAGTACAGGAAAACTGGTTTTTAGTGCGCCAAACAGCATCTCGACACACCAAGCAGGCGTCAGTCTCTGTGTCTTTTCAGTGGAGGTAACATCGTGCTTCAGACTCTCTTCAACATAAACTATTTTTTCCGTTTTTACAGTGAAATTATTGGTCATTTTTAAATTTATTTTACATATTGATGATATATAGTGCAGTGTTGATTTAAAGAAAAAAATCTTTATTTACAACAATTAAATTTAAAATTTTAGTGGTGAAATTGTTATTGAATCCAGCATGGGTCCCAAGAAATCCAGAAAAGCGATTTCAATCCAGGTGAAACAGGAAATTATTAAGAAACAAGAAGAAGGCATTAGAACAAATGTGCTTAGCAAAGAATATGACATGTCGACATCAACTGTGTCGACAATTCTTTCACAGAAAGACAAATTCAAGGAAGTGAAAGTGAGAGAGAAATCTACCAGAGTTTTTAAAAGTAGATCCCTAATAGCAGAAACAGAGAGGTTACTTCCCATTTGGATTAGGGAAAAACAGATGAAAGGTGATTCAGTTTCTACTGAATTTATTTGTGAAAGAGCCAGGGAAATATACGAACATTTAAAGGTAGATCAACCTGGTTCTTCAGGCACAGACTTTGAAGAGTTTAGGGCCAGCAAGGGCTGGTTCGAAAAATTTAAGAAAAGAAGTGACAGTTTTAGTGTTGTTAGGCATGGTGAGGCTGCCAGTGCTGATAAGGAGGGGGCAGCAAAGTTTTTAGTGGAATTTAAAGAACTGATGGATACAGAAAATTATCTTCCACAGCAAGTGTTCAATGTGGACGAAACTGGGCTGTTCTGGAAAAAGATGCCCAAAAGAACATTCATCACCAGAGATGAAGCCTCTTTACCTGGGCATAAACCCATGAAAGACCGTCTCACTCTATTGCTTGGTGCCAATGGTTTAGGGGATTTCCGACTGAAGCCTATGCTTGTCTACTACTCTGAGAACCCCAGGGTGTTCAAGCAACAGAAAGTGGTAAGAGGACGGCTTGGAGTTTATTGGAAGTCCAACCGTAAGGCATGGGTGACAAGACAGCTCTTTAATGTATGGGCAGTTGAGGTGTTTTGCCCTTCTGTCAAGAGCTACCTAACCACCAATAAACTTCCTTTAAAGGCTCTTCTCCTTATGGATAATGACCCTGGTCATGACCCTCAACTTGCGAGCACTTTGAAGTCTCAATTTGACTTTGTCAAAGTGTTGTTTTTGCCTCCCAACACTACATCAATCATACAGCAAATGGACCAGAATGTGATCAGCAACTTTAAGAAGCTGTACATGAAGAAAATGTTCAGGAGGTGTCATCAGGCAACTTCCACTGATCCTGAACTAACACTGGCACAGTTCTGGAAGGCACAGTTTAACATCCTGGAGGCTGTAAAATTGATTGTGTCCTCATGGCAAGAAGTCTCCACTAGATCCCTCAATTCTTCATGGAAAGCACTGTGGCCATCAGTAGTCCATAATTTTGAAGGATTTGGGGAAGAAACAGAGTTGGACCAGGAGATTGTGTCCATTGGTCAGTCATAGGGCCTTGAAGTGGAGGAGGATGAAGTAGAAGAGCTTGTGATGTCTCATGAGCAGGAACTTACTCCTGAAGATTTGCAGCAACTGGATGAGATGTTAGAGGCTGACAGTGGTGAGGAGGAAAAGGAAAGTGATGACCATATGTCAACTTCAGATTTGAAAGATGTTGTTCATTACTGGGAGAAGTTCAGAAAACTGACTTCAAGGCACCCTAATGTGGAAAAAGCAGAACTTGCCTTGTGTAATGTTGAGGACACAGTGGTCTCCTTCTTCAAACATCAGTTAATGATGAGGAGGAGAGATGCCCCACAAACCAAAATTGACAGTTTCTTCACTAAAAGGCAGCAGGAAACAGATGCTAGCCCTCAGCCTTCCACTTCAAGAAGGAGAGAAGATGTTCATGCCGGAGAATCTGTCAGTCCAGAGGTTCCTGACATTTTCATGAAAGGTGACTCACCTTCCAAGAAGCAGTAAAATGCTTCTCCTCCACTTCCTTCTCTTCTCCCTTCTCCTCCTCCACCTCCCACTTCAAATTCACATCAGCATCATCATCCAGGAGCCTTCTACATACACACCTCAAAATAAGTGTACTTTACTACCTTTTTTGTTGACTTTATGCAATTTTTGGTGAGCTGGAACCAATTACCTAAAAACCCATTGAAACAATGGTTTCGGTTAACGAATTTTTCGGTTAGCGAGCAACCTTCTGGAACGAATTGTGCTCGTTAACCGAGGGACCACTGTATATAAATGGAAGTCAGGGCTAAACAAAGGTGCCATTACAAAGGTACTCAAACTATCCAACCAGGAGCGAACTCGTAAGAATGGCTATAAATTAGACAAATTTAGATTTAGGCATGAAGTAAGTAATCATTGGTTTGGAATTAGAGTAGTGGACGAGTGGAACAAGTTACCAAACATCATCATTAACGCGAATACGCTGGATAGCTTCAAACATAGGTTGGATGGATATATGAGCGATAGGGGTTCGGTGTAAACAGGACTGCCCAGTGTGGGCCAATAAGCCCACTGCAGTTTCCTCCATTCTTATGTTCGTATGTAAGGACAAGAAGACTCGCCACTCACACTCAACCAGTTGCCTGAATGTCTTATTTCTCTACATTTTTTCTTTTTGCAAATAATTTTTCTATGTTCTTTAATTTCACATGCTAATTATTCACTGTATAATAAATGTGCTGAATTGTTAGAGAATGTTCAGAATTTGGAGGTGAAGAAAAGTTTGGATAAGTGGCAACTGTAAGAAACGAATGGGTCTGATGTGGATTTAGCTGGCGTTGTTGTGTTGTGTTAGTGATGTAGTTCTGGCTCTGAGTCATTGATATTATAATGTTATTAGTTCGCTTCAACATCTAAGGCCTTTAAGTATATAAGGTAAGCAAATTACACTAGTCCACCAACCATTCAAAATTATGAGGGACAGAACGCCCTGTTGTCTGAGTCACTGGCTTTTGAACACTTAAGTAATGTTGATTGTTTTATATGCTTGGGCCTTTCTTTTCTCAGTGCATCCTGAACGAGATAAGTGATCATGAGTCAAACGTCAGTGACCTCAGCACTTGGTAAACATAATGATGGGAATTTAGCATGCTACAATGACCTTTCACAGGTCAAGCTTGGGTGACCACAGAATGGGAATTCAGAATACTCCTACCTTTCATTAAATATAATTTGCCGGGTAGATTTTTGGTTGCCAGATACAGTTCTTTACTGTACTTTATGTGTTAAAATAAAATCCGATAATAAACAATATCATGCAGGCAAAGTAAGAAAACCAACCCATAACCAAACAAAAGAAGCCAAATTAAAAAATACCTCTACCCAAATCATCATCCGTGAGGGTGTCCAAGCCATTTCTTGAGGAATCCGACATCATGGAGAGTTGACGGTGTGTAGGTGACGAGACACTGGAGGACCTTCCCGAGAGAATACCATTGGTGTCTTCAGAATGTTTATCATCAACAGTGTCGATATTTCGAATATCAGCACCACCAGCTGATAATTGGCTTATTCCCGAGTCCTAGTTAAGATACAAATAATAAATACAGTATAGACTTACTCACAATAAATTAACTTTTTCAGAACAGAGCAATACAGTACTTAAAACTTGTACTAACAGGAATATAAATGAGTGGCTAGCTCCTGCTTTTTTTTTTTAGAATTAGCATCTTTTATTCCCTTTGTGAAACATCCTTGATTAATGAAAGTATAATAGTACTGTACAACCTACTGTGACAGCAGAATGAAATTCAGTTATAGTACCTGTGATGTAGAATCTCTATGTTTTTCTAGACTCTCTAGATCAAAACTATAGTTTTGGATCTCTGCTGTTGTGCGCTTCAAACTCCTGAAAAATGAAAATCTGTATAAGGATATCTGCCAATAAGCAAAAGAAGCTAACAAATAAAATTGCATATAATTGCAAATGTATATCGAGGTTTTTATTTAGTACTGTACCTGGAAAACTTGAGAACTGAGATACATTCATATTTTTCTCATATATTCAGTGAAAATAATATACCATCAATACCAAACTGTCTGGCACAGAAATAAATGGAGTGATCCTGGAAATCACATTCTATACCAATATATTCATCTTAAGTAAATCATACACTCCAACTAAACCTACAGGGATTATTACCAAGGCAATAGTGACTTGGACTAAGCAAACCTTTTAAAAGGTTTTCTAAGCAGGAATTGCCACTTAGGGCTGACGGCTAATGAGTTGTGATTCCACATCATCGGTGAACTATATACAGGGTGTCTCATAGCTCACACACCATAGAAAAATCAAGCCACATTTTGTTTTCTTTTTCTGGTAAGGGAATCATATAAAATCAACAAAGATTACCCAACAAGGACTAATCAAATGGCCATCAAGGTCTCTAGCCCTCAAATTCTCTTCCTCTGGGGTCACCTAAAGTCTGTTCTCTATTAAGATAGTTCAAGAAACATTAGAGCTTCCCTATAATGAATACATTATTGTTTAGTTGTCCTCTTGGCATCATGAATATACAAGAATGAATGAGATGTAGCCCGCTGAATGAAATGATTAGACATAACCTGTATTTCAAGAAAAGTCTCATACACCAAACTTTAACACTATGCTCAATAATTTTCTTTATATACAGCTGCTCCTCGACTTACGACGGGGTTAGGGACCCAAATCCAGGCCGTAAGTCGAATTGGTCGTAAGTCGAATTGGTCGTAAGTCGAAAATGCTTAAATAATAAATAGAAAATCTAAAATGGGTGTCTCTTTTTCTTCTCAGCACCACAAAACTCTCACTTTTAAGCTTGCCAGCCATTTTTAAGTGAATTGCAAACGAAAATTTTGTCAGTACACAGCGCAATCACTAATGATGGGACTCGAAAATACGAAATTTGACAAAATTTTGGTACGACTGAGGCAGTACTATGTCCAGGTGGTCGTAGGTCAAGTATGTCATAAGTTGAGGAGTAGCTGTACAGTATTTAGCTTTATGTCGACAATAATCAATACTGCTTTACCTTCTTGTTTTACATAAGAAAGGGCAGCTAGACTTATCAAAAAAGTTTGTTTAAAAATAAAAGCTGTTACTTTGCAACTTACCTGTACACTTCTTCTGGATTAAGATTTTCTGTATCATCAAAATCAATTGCATTATATCGTGAAGGTCGATGTGACCGTGGAAGAGAGGTATTTGGGCTCTGCAAGACAGGAGTTCCACCAACACTGGGCGGAGTGCGGGGTGGTAAGGAGGATGGTGAAGCATCAAGACTGGAGGCTCTTTTCAAATGACTCTGTATAATCTGTGATGCTGTGCTCTGACAGGCTGGAGGAAGCTGCTGCAAAAGTGCAGTGAACTCAGTGATATTACAGTTAAACATGGCAATAAAAGCAGCAGATGCTGCCCGTCGAATATCGAGGAATTTTTGGTCTGCTGTCCATGTTAGGATCTTTGCTAAGGCCATTGAAGTATCAGGAGAAGCAGTGAGGTCTCCCCGCTCCATTACATCCACTAAACACTTGAGGTATGTGAGGGTTGCAACCTTCACTTTAGAATTAGGTGTCTGGGTTTGATCTACTAAAAATCTCATTATAACAATGAATTGTTGGTCACAAGGGAATGAGTCTCTGTAAAAGAAAAAAGATACCATTAGTAAACTAGTAACCGATTCACTTAAAAATACCTGTAAAAAAAAATAATAATATTAAATTAGTTTTATGCTTATATCATATTATTATACCAAACAAATTACTATATAGACATACTGTATATATACACGATACCCTTGTTAATTCGACAAAAAAAATGGGCTCTGGGTCACTTGAATTACCGAAAAATCTGAATTAACCGAGTTCTGAATATTTTGACATTATTCGAGATTTCTAAATTTTTGGGTTCGATTATTCGTTCATTTTCTGTTCCGTTTTTGTACCTTGTTTGGTTTGTTCCAAAGATTTTTCCTCATTATTCCAACCAACAAACATACTATACTGTACTCAATTACCATGTCTTGGCTATCACATAAATTATTATACCAGGACTGTATTTATAATTACTGTACAAACAAATACTTGTTAAATCTGCATATGGTAATAATATAGTAAATAATACAGTAATAAATAAATGTAACACACTACAAGGTGAGATGATGAGGTACTTACACAGCACACAAAATAACAGCACTACTATAATGGTTTCTCCTTGTGTTTGAGGATGGCCGGCCCTGGGGCCACCAGGGCATGAATTTGTTCAAGGTGTAGAAGCTGTTGTCAAAACAACAACCACACCCTAAGTTAATGAGTTGCACGACCAAGTGTCAACAACTCGCCAACTGCACTGACTAATCTTTACCCCGGAACACGATCCGCAAATCGATTAACTTCCAGGTTCCCAATTACTGCAAGGTAGACTGAGGCAAATAGTTAAAGAAACTTGCAAATAGTTTCACCCTGCCTGGGGATTGCACCCAGGCCCACTCACTTGCGAGTCAAGCATGCTGACCATCACACCACAGATTGCTTACTAAACCATTGTCTTATAACATTTTAATTTCTAATTTCTATTTTAAATTAATTGAAAATTAATTTTTAATCATTCCTTTAATTTTAACAGAAACATTTTTCTTCAATGACATTACACTAGAATTAACTCTAATGTAGAGTATATAAATCCAGGGTGAACACTAGCGTCCATCACACATGCCGCATGGGTAGTAAACAACTGGGTGTTGTCAGACATACGGGTATCTATGATGCAATAATAGTTTATGAGCAGTTTTATCACAAATTGCAGTAATTTTATTTACTCAAAATCTTGCAAGATCTTTCAGATTTAAAATTCCATCAACACAATTAACAACATGCCACAAATCTCCTAAAAATACATCAGCTTTAAGGCACTAAGCATCTCAACTGAGGAGGTGGCACAGCCACATTACCTCCTGGCTGCGCTGGTCAGCAGCTGCCTCCTGATAGCTTATGTGTCACTAAGATGATTCCCAGATAGAGGATTTCTTTCCACTTGGACAATTCCCAGAGACAACTATTGCAAAAAATTGTCCAAACAGGTATAACATGAAATAATTTAGTACAAATGAATAAAATTTAATTATTTAATTAATAATAACAAATAAAATTGGGAATCGTCATGAGAGATGGCAAAAACCACACAAAGACTATCTTCCAGATGGGAATCATCCAAGTGGGATGAAAAGTGACCCAAACCTGCCTGGGTAACCACGAGAGCACAGTTGAATTGACAAGACTGAAATTTCAAACACGTTGCTGTGTGACTTTTCCGAATCGCTCAGTTATTTTGGATTCATTCAGAATTCAAATAGTAGAATTTATACAGTATTTGAAAAAACATACGAACGAAGCCAAAATGTGAGTTATAACAATTTGAAATAACAAGGGTCTTATCTCTCCTTTCATACAAGCAAGAATAGCTTTAGCTGTGATACACATATATGCACACACACCCCGTATAAAAAGACTTATTGAGCAGCGCAACAAGGCATACTACACCAACAACCACCTGTACAAAAGTCTACGTAACCAGGTCATCAGGGAAATCAAGTCGGCCAAGAAGACTTATTATCCCAGGAAAGTGCACGGCCTCAAGGAAGTCGGCATCGGTCAGTGGCACTCCAAGGTAAAAGATCTCTGTGGTCTCAACCGTCAGTCTCCCACACTTCCTTTCATCTCACATTTACCTAGTGAGGAGGCAGCTGAGATAATTAATAACCATTTTGCTACCATATGTCATACCTTACCCAGTCTTGACCTCACTCTCCTCCCGGCTTACTTACCTTCCCCCTCCCCCCCTCCCAGTGTTCAACCATATGAAATCGCCAACAAACTCCTGAAATTTAAATCCAACGCTCCACGACCCCAATTGACCTCCCAATCAAAATATACAAGGAATTTGCAGTCGAACTTGCCACCCCCTCTGTTCTATTATTAATGCATCCCTCAGACAAAGCAAATGCCCCAATGAATGGAAAACCGCATTTGTCACCCCCATCCCCAAGGTCACCACCCCCACAGTCCCCTAACGACCTCAGGCCAGTTGCCATTACCCCCATACCCAGTCTACTCTGTGAGGACTTTGTTTTTGAGTGGGCATTTGCTAGAATCTATTAGTCAATTGATCCACAGCAATTTGGCAATATGAGGACCTCCTCTACATCACACTGCTTAGTGAGCTTTCTGGATTTTCTGCACAAAAACCTGCAGAAAAGTAAGACATCACTGGCCGTTGCCCTTGTTGACTTCAGGAAGGCCTTTGACCTTGTTGATCACTGCACTGTTATCAACAAGACCATTGCACTAGGGCTGCCCATCAACCTGGTCTCATGGCTCACTGATTTCTTGAGTGGACGTCGCCAGGCAGTGAGGTATCAGGGCTCGGTCTCCACATTCCAACACCTCACCTGCGGTGTTCCCCAGGGGACCAAGATGGGACCACTGTGCTTCCTCATCCTGATCAACGACTCTCTATCGGATTCCTCACAGGTGGAAGTACGTGGATGGCTGCACTGTGGGGGTTTCAGTGGACAACACCGCACTAGACTACTCAGCGCTACAAGGCACCCTGGACAGGCTACAGGCATTAACTACGGAGAACAAGGTCACCATCAACCACACCAAAACCGTAGTCATGCACATCAATACCGCCACCACTTCAGTGCAAGCCCCAGCAGTCACAGTGGGTGCCCATCCTCTCCAGCTGGTGCAGTCTGCCAAACTCCTGGGTGTAACAATAGACAACAAACTGGACTGGAAGGCCCATGTAAATAACACAGCCAAGGCAGCCTCGTACGGTCTCTACATGCTACGACGACTTAGGTCACTTGGGACACCCACGCCAAAGCTGAGGACTATCTACAACGCCTTTATTCTCCCCAAACTAACGTATGCATCACCAGCCTGGTCGTCTTCTCTCAACTCCACCCAACAACATCGGCTAGAGAAGGTACAGAAAAGGGCCTGCAGAATCATGCTCGGTACAGAATACTCCGGCTACATCAACGCTCTCTCCACCCTGGAAATGCCATCCCTCAGTGACCTCCACCACCAAGCACTGGAAATGTTTGGCAGCCAACTAATGCACCACCCTCGTCATCGCCACCTCCTGCCACCGGCAGCCCCCCACCCACCTCGCGCAGTCCGCCACTACAACAAAATTCAGCCCATAAGAGCCCGCACCGATAGATATAAGAATAGCACCATCCCATCTATTGTTAAAATAATAAACAACTCCTGATTTATGTACTGTACAGCCCTGTAAATGTATTCAACGCATATTATATCATTATGTCTAAATCAAATGTAAGTCTGTATATTTTCAGCCACCGGCTGCAACTCTATTAATAAACCGTTGTTTATTATTATTATTATTATTATTTACGCACATGCACACACATTTTCCCTTCATTCACTGCCACCCATTGTTACTTATTGTTGTAATAGAAGTTTTCTGCCATGGTCCTCCCCTTCTACTATGAGGCACCAAATGTGTTGATTAATCACAACTATCCTAATAATCAGTTAAAGTTAAAAGTTGAAACTCAACTAGTTAAAGTGAAAATTTTGCATTTAAAACTACTATAAAACCACTATCATTCAATTCATTCAAAATTCAAATTTTGGAGAGCAGCATGTATTTCTTTGATACTTTCTTAGTGCTTGTAAAATAAATACCCATAAACTCTCTCTTCCATTTATATAGAGACTCACCTTACTAAATCTAATGTTCTATGAATTTTGGTCTGTACTGATCCTAGGAGATCTGAGCCCAATTTGTTAAGCAACCGTGTGAGCAGAACATATAGCCAGTCTCCGAGATCTGCCTTGTGCACCATGATCAGCTCCATCAGAGTATCAAGAAATAATGTAAACACTTTGGTATGCGCATCCATAAACATTTTAGTGAAGATCTCTGTGACACGTTTTAGCTCTGATCCAGTGAGCATATGTGAGCCACGCAGGAATGCTTGTAGTGCCATGAGGCCTTCTTTCCGATCACCCCAGTGAGTTGATGCACAGTTTAAGATGATATCACTAACATCCTGCATCTGTAATGAAAGTATTTGTAAGTAATGGGTATATGTACAGTACAACATTATTAAAATAAAAACTTGTAATGTGTGCCTCACTATGCAAAATGAATTTAAATTTATTATGCTTAAGGAATGAGGCCAAATGACTGAACTACATAGGTTTCATCAAATGTGCAACTTGTTCATGTTCTTTCATGATATAGTCTGATGATATTTGAAGAAAATCCAAATAGGAATTAAGTATTTACATTCTTAAAAATAAATTTACATAGCATATTTCAACATAACTAACTGAACCATCAGGGTTTACTGTTTATGTATAGTGTCTCTGCTGATTTTCACATTTTACCTCTACTGCTATCTTTCCATGTTTTCATCATGCCGGTCTACATCCATTTTGTTGCCTCTGTATACTTAAAGATAACCTGCATTTTCTTGACGCCATCATATTTCTTATTACAGTACAACTGAAGGAACTAGATTCTGGACTCTTTGTCCAGAATGTAGCGCCTTCAGTTAACCTAAATTTTTATTTAAGATTTCTGCTGTGCTACTTCAGATATCTGGAAAAATCTTTCAAAATTCAGGAGAAGCTCACAGACATGCCACTTGCATGGCCTTTATCATTGGTGAACAAATATCTGGCAACAATGAGGCTGCTGAAAAGTACATGACTGATTTTGCTAAGCTAGAGGAGAGGTAGCCCTGAACAAATTCATAATGCAGACAATGATGGTGCTTTTTAGAGAAGTTTGCCTTGTTACACATTTTATGGTCCAAAGGAAAAAGTTATGAATGAATGATGTCAAAGAGTCTGAGCCTAAGGAGAGGCTCACTGTTCTAAAAATGTGCAAATGATGCTGGCACGCATAAATATGAGCTACTTGTGAGACGGAAGAGTGCTAAATTTCATGCTCTGAAAGGCATAAAAACTTTGCCTGTGCTTTAAAAGGGTAATAAATGAGTATGGACCATCCAGGAAATAACATTAGACTGGTTTATTTATAATTTTGTACCAGAGGTTCAAGTACACCACTGTATACTTCCTGTGGATAACTGGTCAGGTCACCCTCCTGTGGAACAGTTGAATGCTGGCAACTTCAATACTACTGCTTTTTGTTTTAACTTTGTGGATGTGTGTTTCTAATCTGGAAAGGGTTCAGGTCTCAGCAGTCCACATTCTCAAGACTGTACCATATAATCAAGTCTTGCCTGCCACAACACTGGGATAGTTAAACTAACATGCAAATTTTACTCAGAAAATATTTTAAAAACTGTTACTTGGTCTTTGGTGCTGGAATGTAATCAAATGGTCTACAACGATAATGTCTTAGAAAGATTCTGAATACGCCTTAATTACTGTAGGCCTTAATTACTGTATGTTAAAACAAGAAAGATATGGAAATGCCAACTGCTTCACTTCTTCAATATTTTTGCAATGGAACACTGACTTAACTGATGCTTTTCAGTGAAGAAGGTGGGCATTTTATAACTTATGTTGTAAAAAGTTGAAGTATATTGATTACCACGTCATTAAATTGGGAACAATACTGAATAAGTAAAATGATAAATTGTAATACAACAGGAGAATCAGGGGTAGGATGTTGATAAGAGCAGGGCATAAAACTAACAATTTAGTATTTCCTACAGTGTTTATGTATCCCAAAAATCCATTTCAAGAAAGTGGCTACTTGCTGAAGTTATATTGTGTGTGGTGTAAGAACTGTTATTATACTGCAACTGAATTTTGTCAACATAAACTTTTGAAAAAGGATCGATAATAATCATCATCATTCATCAACGTTTTACAGCCATTAATTTTTATTTTATTAACTCCTCTATTTTTCACATTAAAATGTTTCCAAAATAATCTTTAGAATTTTTGGTTAAACGATTTTTGACATGAATTATACAATTAACTTAAGAATAGTTACTGACCCCACTGAAGTATTTGTATTTACAAATAATGTTGTCTATCAAATTTAGCTTTCATATCAGTCTTACAGAACTGTATTCTATTTAATTTGATCTGCAAAGCATTTCTCAGGTTACTGAACGGAAGTGACATTTAAACAGATGTATGAAAATTTTTCAGTAAAGGAAGAACCTTTAACCGGCAGGAAATTTTTAGAGAAAATGCTGATTATCAAATTTAAATGCATGTATGTGCAGTAACAAATTTTATTTCAATACAAGAAAACTTTCTCAAGTTAGTGAGTGCAAACACTATGTACAGACAAACTTATTGACTGGTGGATAAAGGTGTAACTGAGTATTCCTTCAATGAAAATGGCACACATAAAACTAAGCCACCACAAAAGCACCACAAAGAAAAGCACATGTACTTAAATGCATATTATACTGATGAACAAAAAAGTAATGGATTGAGCATGGTGTTGTACACATGGAAAGCTTTTAGGCCGATAATTTCTTTCAGAAACTATGCTGAATGTCAAAAACTGAACAGCTACTACTGTGTATTTCTAAAAAAAGAAGTTGAATCTAAATCTGAATACTGGACATAAATGGTTGGCTCAACACTTAATGAGTCCAATTAATAAGTCTAACTCAAATCCTAAATGTGACACATGAATCCTGTAAATGACACAAAAACTGAAGGCCTTAAAGAAATTATCTAGAAATTACCAAGAAGAAAAGTGAAATGATGTTAAATGATTTTTATATACAAAGGGGATAACACAATAATGAGAACAAATCCATAAATATGATGATTGTGATTGATCTGTTTTGGATGATTCGAAAAATAGGATTACAATACTGTATACGTACAGTAATAAAAAGATTACTATATATTTTCTTTATCATGAAATATCAAATACAAGATCTGCACATCTTCAACCAAATAAATGACAGAATTTAGCTCTGTATTTGTAATACCAAATAAGCTTGGTGATACCCAAAGTCAAATAGTTTGAAGGTATATCTGAATAAACTACGGTAATATCTCCATTAGCCGGAATCCCTCAAACCCGGAACTCTCCAATAGCCAGAATTGAAATTTTCTCAGAAAATCGTCCCGAGGGGCAGATTTTCTGAAAATTCTGAGAAAATTTTCCCGGTAATGTACCCGCAAAATTCCAGGGATGGGGGATTTTTATTATGAGTTTGAGAGATGAAAATCAAGGGGATTTTCCAGAAATTCTGAGAAATTTTTCTGGGACCCAGAAAATTATGGGGTTAGGGGATATTTTTTTCAGGTTCGAGAGATAATGTAATGCGCAATTTCTGGAACTCCCGAGAAATTTTTTCCATTACCCGGAAAATTCCGGGGATGGGGTTTTTTTCCCGGCTTTGAGAGAGTAGTCTCGTTATCCAGAAATCTCTCATTCCCGGAAGAGTTTGTACCAATTGTTCCGGCTTACAGAGATATCACTATACTTGCAGTTACATATGGTTAGTGAAGGCAATAACTGGACAAAAGATTTTAAGAAAGGTTAAAAAGATGAAACGTCAAATGCTATGAAGAGGCATACGAGTAAATAGCGAAACTCATTTCTGTAGCCCATGACGAGGTAATGGGGGACCTGTGCAACAAATTGGAAGCCAATTTATAAATGGAAGAACTTGGAAAGCAAGATGATTGGAAGGAGCTCTTGACATCATCAAAATATTTATCATCAAAATGCATTTGTCACTTGCACTTAGACCACCTAACTATAGTATTTAGCAAATATCATGCACCCTGTTCCTCAGATGCATGACAAGCCATATTGGCCAATGGATATAACCTAATTGTAACCTAAAATATAGGGATATTGCCTATAGTCATATCTTTCTTTAAACCCATACTTTTAGTCAATCTACTTAAAAAAACTGAGAGACCAAAAGCCTTGTTTGCTTATAATTATGGAGTAAGTGTTCCAATAATGTGATATGATACAGTCATAAATAATAAACAATGTGGAGAGACAAAATGCTGAGCCTGTTATTCAACAAATTTGGACAAAATGGCTCTTGAAAGACATTTAGATACATTTCAAGAAGAAACAGTTCCTTGATCACCCACACACCAGATAAAGTCAGTGTAAGAGGAAAATGCCACAAATGGTGTGTTTTGGAGCATTTTGGCACCTGTCAATGCTACCTTTACTCTTCATGGTATAAAGATGTGGTTTTCTTATGTGTGACCCTGGCATCTGACTTACCTCTCGTAATCACTGAAATCTCTGGATAGTCCTCAAGATTCCCATCTTAACATTTATAGGCAACAGCTCAAAGCAGTAAGCAGTTAGTGTTGATGAATAGAAATATGAACATATCAACTTACTGTATTTAGTATGTTTTCATTAGTGAGAGATGACAAAATGAGTAAGCTAAAATATAACTACTGTACTGTATATTGCAAGAAAATGTGCAATTCTGTATATGTACATGAAATACATGTTTTAATAGGGTTGCTATATATTTATATATTACAGTACAGTGTACTATTAAAATGCTAGAGGAAGTGAAATATGCTATACACTTTCCTTCAAAGGAAAAACATGTTTACAATATGGAACCCACATCATGAGTGAGTTGTATCAACTAAATTCTATTTTTTCATCTCTTCAAAACCTAAGTTTTAAAAAGTAGACTGTATAATTGAACATAATGTCATGTATATTACTATTACACTGTAGAATCAAATGTGAAGAAATAGTAAACATGGAAGTTACCATTGACAACTGATACACAAGTAAAGTACTGGCAAAAAAATAAATATATATATATATATATATATATATATATATATATATATATATATATATATATATATATATATATATATATATATATATATATATATATATATATATATATATATATATATAGGCATATTACTTTCAACGATAGTGATGAGGCAGTCATGCAGTGGCACCAATCCATCAAAACAACAAAAGCTAGGTGATTGCATAGATAAGAGGGACTACGCCATAACAATCTGCTTTCTGAAATGGTCTCACCTTCGCTGTTGGCTCCCACACTTCCTTGAGTATACGCTGTTGTGATCCGTACCAGAATAGCTAGGGTACGGTAAGAAGAGAACCATTGATAAGCTACACAAAAAAATTAAAATGCAAAATCCACCTGTAACAGAATCAAATCTGGCAACCAGGCTCTCGGCAGATTTCTGTTATCTTTTACTCTTTACTGTTTCAAGGTTTAGTAGAAACTTTCATAAAAAAACGAACAATAGAATGTACCGTATTGCACTAAGTCAAACAAAGTTGATGCATGCTCTGGACAGCCTCATTGCCAAAAAAAAAAAAAAAAAATCCACACAAAAACTAAAACTAAAAATGGGGGAGGAAGGTTGACAAAGGGAGAGAGGGGTGGAGGGAGGGCAGGATAAACAAAAGGAGGGAGACAAAGGAGATGTGGTAAAGAGGTGAGGAAGGAGGATTAAGTTGGGCAACCTGAGGTTCATTTACTATAAGCCCCCAAGCCATTCATAATGGCTCAATCATCTATTTGGATAATAAAAATATAAAGAGATTTACTATGGTATAAGACTGTCATAGTAAAACAATCTATTACAAAACTATTAGAAAGTAAACATGCAGACACATTATTCATACAGTAAAACTGGCCATTCTAAAGGATTAGTCTTTAAGCAGCCATATCTCACAAGTTAATGCAACTTCACAAAACAGCAGAAAATTAGAATCTATAAGAAGTCATGACACTAAAGGTAACATTTAATCTTCTCACAATGCAGGGGTAACACAAAAGCTGTATATCTTTACCCAAGATAACTAAGGCTACAAAAGCCAGTAAACAGGTATTTGAAATATACAGTACAGTACACAGTGTATGAATTATTACCTATGTCCTAAAAAGATAATACTGAATAACTGCAATCACAAAAAATCATCTAATGCTAACACCCATCAGTGAAAGCATCTAAACCTCTCTTTTTTACACTAAAACCTCCAACTAACAAAATTAATATTTGGGAGGGGCTCATAGGCAGAATTTTGATTAATGCAAATCTTTTAGTTTTGGATATCAACTTTGTTTGTTGTACAACTAAATCCATACCAGTCAGAATAATCGGTATGGAAAGAAAGGTGTATGTAACAAAATCAACAGTTATGATGCAGCAGTTAAAAAAAAAAAAGGATGTGTGGAAGGTTGTACTTATCCCTAGATCTTTAAATAAAATCTTGGTAAGCTGTGTACCACTGAAATGAAATGGTTATGAACACACTGGACAAGGATGAGTTGTGAAAGCAGGTCACAATAGGCAAGAGTAAATATTGTTTATTTTCTATCCTTGGCAGAAACAACAGATCGGCAGAGCTTACGGAGGGTTACCCTTTCTCTTCCTATTTCCTTATCATTTCCTACTTCTCTCTTATCATCATCAAAGTTCCAAGGCCATTTTTCATGCTTAGCCACAATTACCTCATGGCAGCTCTCCATGGTGCACTGTCTCTTATACAGTAATACCCCGATTTACGTGGTTTCACTTTACGCGATTCTACATTTACGCGGTACCTAGCCAGAACTGGAATTTCATTTTACTTGGTGCCCCTACTCATGTGCATCTACTCATATACACGGGTGAAGTATAATTTTTTATTTAGCTCATAAAATTCATACAAATTACCCGGCCAGAATATAATTTACATTGCTGGAATTCTTACAATATGATGATCATTTTGAATATAAACATCATGGATTTTGCATTACACATACAAATTTTAGATCTAATGTAATAATTTGTTTTACAAAAAGCAAATATTTTATCTTTTGTGCAAAATATATGAAGTTTACATTCAAAATATTCCCTGACCTGCAAGGAATCCAGAAATGTCAATTATATTATCCTAACTTTAGTCTGAGGCATTATTTATTACTATACCTTAAAATCTAGTGTTTTCACCCAAACATTTCTCAGAGAAGTAGGAGCCAATCAGCTGGAAAAAGAGGGGGGGGGGAGTTGAGTCCATTATTTGAATGGACATTAACCTGGTGACTGTATTTCTCTTAAATATTAATTGTGTGTGCATACCATCATAAAATTAAGATGTTATTTTTGCTACAACATAGGTATTGTGTCGGAAAAAGTGGAGTTTGGGGGTCGGCCCGGTCTCTATTTCAATTAATCCCATATGTTATGTTGTTCACTTTACGCGTTTCTCGCTTTACTCGGGCCTCCATGGGTTTAATTGACCGCGTAAAGCGAGGGTTCACTGTAGTCTCTTTACTTCATTTTCTTTGACCATGCTCTCCTTTTCTTTTCCATTATAACTCGCCCCTTCCTTTCTCTCTTCCTTTATTTCATCCCTTCTTTTCATATCTCTTATCCTCCTATTCCTTTCTGATATATGTTCCTCCCCCTTCCTAATTTCTCTTTACTGAATTCCCATTTTCTCAAACTAAATTTTTTTTACTCTCCCCTTTTCTTCAATTCCCTCTTATTCTCATGACTCTGCTTTCTACCTAGAGTACTAATTGTTTTCTGAAGATCCCTTACAGGGCCTTGAGTATGACAAGAAGGTGCACCTAATTAATTAAAATGTCCAAGCCACATTTGTTTACCTGGAGTTCTCATAACAAAATCAAAGCTACAACACATAAGCTGCTTAAATAAGGCATCAGGCCACAATACTATATACAGTGGTTCCTAGGTTAGGGTTGCCATATCTGAACATTATAAAAAGAGGAAGCTCCAGAAGACATCCTGCCCCCCCTCCCCCCGCACACACTTTGGCGCTATGTAACCTTGAAGCAGCCGTGACAATAAATTTGGCATATTTGCTTAACATTAATATACAGTGATCCCTCGGTTAACGAGCACAATCCATTCCAGCAGGTTGCTCGTTAACCGAAAAACTCGTTAACCGAAACCATTGTTTCAATGGGTTTTTGGGTAATTGGTTCCAGCTCACCGAAAATTGCCTAAATTCAACAAAAAAGGTAGAAAAGTACACTTACTTTGAGGTGTGTATGTAGAAGGCTCCTGGATGATGATGATGATGATGGGAATTAGAATGGGGGTGGAGGAGAAGGGAGAAGAGAAGGCATTGGGGTGGAAGAGAAGTCACCCCATGGCGCCATTTCACCCATAAAATTTTAGTTCTCTTGGTGTAGGTAATTCAAGATTATTTTCTTTAAGTCAATACTGCACTGCATTATATATTGTCAATATGTAAAATAAATTTCAAAATGACCAATAATTTGCTTGCAAACACAGAAAAAAGTGTTTAGTTGAAGAGAGTCTCAAGCAAGATGTTACCTCCACTGAAAAGACACAAAGACTGACGCCTGTATGGTGTGTTGAGAGGCTGGATGGCATACATAAAACTAGTTTCATTACCTTCAATATGTTCAATAATTGTTAAAATGACTAAAAAATTTAATATTAAACTTTTAAAATTATTGAATAGTATAAACTTCTTGATATTTGCTAAAATGGTAATGAATTTAAGCCCTAGAACCGATTACTGTATTGGCGGACTAATACTACAGCTGGCGGACCGCCAAATGCAAGCGAAAACATGTTCTGGTCTGCTCGTAAGAAACTCGTTAATCGAGGGATTGCTCGTTAACCGAAGTTAAGAATCTTATGGAAGGTAACTCGTTAACCGAAATCTCGTTAACCGAGGCGCTCGTTAACCGAGGGACCACTGTATATGTATATATGTATATGTATATATGTATATGTACAGTATATGTATATATATATATATATATATATATATATATATATATATATATATATATATATATATATATATATATATATATATATATATATATATATATATATATATATATATATATATATATATATATATACACATACATCACAGGTTGTACCTCTCTAGTCCGGCATTCTGTGGTCCGGAAACTCCCGTGGTCCGGAACGATTTTAGTTTGTCCAATAGGTAGATAGGCAGCTTTTTTTTTTTCTTTTTTTTACTTATCTGAATTATTATTATTATTACAGGAGTATTAAATTTTTGCCCCTCAGGCCCCAATGTGGGTCAGTGACCTATGCCCGGGTGGGCTAATCCCCTTAAAAAAAAAGCCGCGGGAAATTAAGGTTTGTTTACATCCGGCAGTTCGGCTGCTCTCTCTCTCTGCTTGTCTATACAGAGTACAACATTTAACCCTTCAATATATATGAGCAGTAAATAAGTGTTGCTTTCATATTCTTATGTAGAGTAATGACAATATATTTTCACATGTGCGCACTTACATACGAGCAGTCTCACTTTTTTTTTTACCATTAATGGTTAGCTACTTATATTGTTCCATTTATTAACATTAAATAACATTACAGGTACTTCAAGCAACCATATTCATTTTTTACATTAATTTTACTGCAGCTAAACTCAGGGTCTTATTTTCTTCAGTTTTATATGTAGAACCAATCAGTCACTGGTTTCGTAAGCTTTAACATAAACAATGCCGGCAGCCGTCTCGTCTCCTCTAATATTCCACGTATTATTAATAAATTGTATTGTTAATTTTGCACACACGTACATTGATTCAATAAAAACAAATTCAGAAACATTAATTAAAATATATATGAACAGTAAATAAGTGATGCTTTCATATTCTTATGTAAAGTAATGACGATATGTTTTCACGTGTGCGCATGCGCACTTACATATGCGATCTCTCTTTTTCTTTACCATTATCGTTAGCTACTTCTATTGTTCCATTTATTAACATTAAATAACATTACTTAAAACAACCATATTAATTTTACTACAGCTACAACCATGGTCTTATTTTCTTCAGTTTTATATGTAGAACCAGTCAGTCACTGGTTTTGTAATCAATGAAAACAATGCTGTGTCATTTCCTCGTGTGTTTTAATATTCTACATATTATTAATGAATTCTATTGCTCATTTTGCACACATAAACATTAATTCAATAAAAAAGACATTCAGTAATAAACAACAATGAATCTTTTGTACATAAGAGAAATGACGCTGTTTACACGATTATGCACGTCGTCTGCACGTTGGCGGGCCGTTCAAACCCATCGAAATTCAAGTTTC